GCTCATCAGGCTAACTGGTGAACAGTTCATGAAAATGACCCCATGTAAATAAAAAAAGATTTGTTTTTAACCCCCATTTTATAATAATAGGAATTGAGATATATTTACAAAGATAATGAAACAAGTTAAAAATATTTTTTAATAAATATTTTGAAAAACATGATTCAAATTCCTACATGGGCTGAACACATGTTTTCACTCATATTTATGATGATTCAGTCTCTATGAACAGCTCAAAGTCTTTTAAAAGGCCTCCATTCCACCACCCTAATTTTTGCATACTGAAAAATTGTAACACTACTTCTTGTGATAAATAATCTATGATAAGATTATTAATCTCTAATAATCTCTCTAAGATGAGACCAAACCTATAGCTACCAGTGGCGAGAATATCTTTGACCTTTTCTGAACAAGCTCAGGTGCTCATTCTTTGCTGTCATCATATTAAATATCTACTTGTTTTATCTTTGTTTGTGTGTGTATGTTTTTTTTGTATAAGATAACCTTTGGTAGTGTTCTTTTGTAGTTAGCATTATGTTATGCAGGGATATCTCCATGTTAAGAAGGTAACTTAAGTATTTCAAGTTTCTGCTGCTGTATAGGAGGTATTTTTATCAATAAATGAAATCTTTGTATAATGACTGACCCTCTTTTAATATCTCTTGTTTGTCTTTGCTGAAACTGATAAACATCTTTCTATTAAATCACAGCTTGCTCAGCTTAAATGATAACACTATTTAAATGAAATATGTTTTGCATTAGCCGGCTAAGACAGTTTTACAACTTTACGCAAGTATTTACCTAATATTGTATGGAAAATAAACTTCCTCTAAGGATGGCTTAGTATTTATTAGTAATTATTCAACCAATTCTCCATAACCTCATTTCAGCTCTCTCGCCAAAAAAACATTTCTAAAATAGTATAAAAAACTTTATTTATGTACGATCTAGGCATCATTTGATTGGATGTCTGGGGTTTCATAAAGCAGATTTACTGAAAACCCTTAAGTTTTTTTAAACCTGAAACCTCTGTTTCTGTTACCATAGTAACATTCTCCAGAGAGCTAACGTGACAGGGAGCAGGTTTTCCTCAATAAACTCAGTGTTCTTCTTTCTCCGTCCATCTTAAAGCCAATCATGTTTTATTTCCTGATTTATTCAGGAGATTTTTCTCATAGTTTTGTACGGAAAATAAAAAAAAATTATATCATTCACTAGGTCCGTTAGACACATTGGCATGTTCTTTTGATGACAAGCCAATTAAAGTATATAATCAAGGAGGGGTCATCAGACCACACAGCTTTCATATTCAGAAAGTTATCTTTATAAGGGGTAACATTTCACCTCTCAATCCATACTGCAACCTTATCCATCCTCACATCCGCAACATTACAGACTTCTTTAATAAGTATTTAACAGTACTTGACATCGGTGAGAGCACATTTATGTTTGATAACACCATTATATAAAAGAACCGTAATGTATAGCGACTTATCATTGAACAGCCGCTTTCACCGTGTCTAAAACCTAATTCTTATTTATTCTTTGCCTAATTTATTGTTTTTATCTTATTTATTCACAATGTACCTATTTTTTTAAACTGTGTTTTAAAGCTTAACTTCCACATGTTTCAGACACACAGATTTAAGGTGGTGATTAAAAACAACTCAGTTGACAGGATATGAGATTTTTTTTGCTTTTGGTTTGTGTAATATCAGCAACATGTGGATACTTTTTTTTTTTTTTTTTTTTACAACACCTGAAGAACTACTGAAATTATTTTCAGATTGCTCATAAATAGATAAGTTAATTCCATGGAAAAAGGGAATTACTTTAGGGTTTGAGTCATTGGGTCATATAATCTAGAAGTTATTGAAGAAAAACAATTCACTTGAATAAAAAAATCATAGAAAATATTAAATTGACAAAAATTGGATTAAAATCCATGATCCTGATGAATATAATGTAGTAGCAAGATTTATCATTCATTTTGCTTCAGGTGGCCTCAAGAAATGTATTTAGTTTTTTTCTCCAGAATATTTGGTTAGGAAATTTATTGACGGTCCCTAAGTGAACCATCACTCTTGACTTAGACTTAGAAAACGTTTATTGTCATTTTGTACACACAGAATGTATACAAAACAAACTTTACTTTGGCACAGCTTTCATAACATTTCAATTACCTAAAATGCAGCAGTGATCAAATGTAAAGAGTGTGGGAGAAAAAAATATAGTGCAAAAAAACACAATGATATGGAAGTTCAGTGCATTAAATATGACCTCCTGACAAGAGGGAGCAACAAGTCTGAGCTCCTAAATTTGATTGACCATGAGCTAGGTGCTGCTAGCTCAGCGGAGTTAGAACATCTAATATCAATCTTGAACTAACTTTACTGTGGTCAATCTGTAGCCATTCTATGGGACTGACAAGTACTATTTAATGGGATGATAACATCCGAAGCTGCTGCAAACAGCCACTTAGTTACTTATTTACTGTGTGATGGAAGCAGGGCCGGTTCTAGCCCTTTGGTTGCCCTAGGCGAGATTGAGTGTTGTGTCCCCACCCCCATCTCACTTTTGCCGTGCGAAATACCAGTACTGTTTTCAGCATCTGTTTAGTGCATTGAGTTGTGTTTACAGTTCCACAAAGAGTGCTGTGCGGTGAATTGTGCCTACAGTTGTGCAAAGTGTGTGTTACAAAATTGCAAATTGAGTGCAAAGCAGTGTTTGTTCTTTTAGTTTTGTGAACTCAGTGAGTGGATTTGCTATAAGTATTAATAGTTTTAGAAATTGTGCTATAAGAATCAAGGTTGTGTTTAAGCATTCAGAAAAAAATGTAACTTAGCATGGAGTGATGCATAGAAAAATACCAGAATAGGTTTCAGTACCTTTTCTTTTTTATTATTTTAAATAATTTATTACACACTCAAAGTTAGGACTGTGCAAAAACACTTTAAACCATCTGTAAGGACACTTAGGTTAAGTATAACTAAAAAACTGGATTGAATCATTGAATGAATTTATTTCAGACAATTAACAAATTTAACACACATTAAACAAATATTAAATAAATCAATTTCAGAAATTACCAAATAACAATAAAAAATTATAAATTTAAGAAATTCTTCAACCAAGGACTACATAAAAAAGTAATTCATAAACATTAAATTAAATTTTTTCCGTTCCAGTTCAATTAAATCATTTGAACATAAATAGATATGAGATAAACAAAATTTTCCTCTAAATAAAATATATCAGGTATATTTTTCTGACATTGATTAGTGATTAAAGAAAGGATTAACCCTCTACAAACAAAAGTGCTTTTATGAATACCATTACAAAATTAAAAGTTTGAAGTTGTTGTTTTTTTTTTGTTCACATATTCTATGATGAACAGCCATAACTTCATATATTTTGATGATTATTTGTACATCCCTTTTGAATACTCAATGCAGATAATCACTACAAAATATTTTATTTATATTAGTATCTTCTACCCATTCTCAAGCTAATAATATAGCACATAATTCTGCTGCATATATACTGAGAAAAAAATGATGTCAACATTAGGGATGGGGATCGTTAATATTTATTGATATCGATACCTTTATCGATACTCCTTATCGATCTGAGTCTTTATCGATACCACTATCGATACTTTTCTGTTATTTGGTGGAAAGACGATGCAACACATTTTTTTTAACAGAATTGGTATTGCTTCTATTGCTTAACAAGTGAGCATAACAAAAACGTTTCTAGCCTTCAATAAACATGGCTAATGTAATAGGCCACTTCGAAATGACATAAAACTAACTAGAATATATTTTCACAATTGTTGGTTAATGTATTGTCTACTGTCACTTTTCATCATGTTTTTAGTGATTAGGAAAATATTTAACAAATAAATAATTGTATTTTAAATTAAATGTAATTTTTAATAAATGTTGGCATCAGTAGTTTAATTATATATAGAGCAATATACAACTGTATTACTCATGTTTCTCGCCAAAAACAAAATTTCCCGTTCTCTTTACGTTACACTTGAACGCATCATGATAACCTAATTGTCGTTTTACTGAGCCAATCTGAACACATCATCACGCAGCACGTCTGAAACTTTATTTACTTTTCAAGCTAACTAGCTTGTATGCTTCCGATTACAACACGGATTTCACAATTAATATTTTTAACTGACCGGACAAGCTACAAAGTCTGTGTGCGCTTACCAGTGGTACTCTGAGTGGATGATTAAGACGGGCCCGACTGCGGCGGCAGGAGGAGGAGGAGGAGGAGGAGTCTTTTCCGTTCAGCCATTCTCGAGTCGCGAGCAAAGTTAAGTGCCAGACTTCACTTGTTTTACTTTTAATATCTGTTTGCTTACAATTTCATTCCAAAATATTGGTGTACATGCTGCAGTGATTGACGTCACGACTTCCGGGTTGGAGGGCGCTTGAAAAGTGATCAGAATCTTTTCCGATTTTCTCTTAAATGTGAAAAAATAAATAAAAAACGGTGGTATATTTATTTGTTCATATTTTGCTATTTATATATACGTAAGGTTAAGTCAAACTGACGGACGCTTCATAACCGGTTTAATTCGCTTTTTTTTCTAATTCTATGATTAATGGGAAGTAAGCCTAAGGGCGACGCTAGAGGGCGCCCCCAACACATTTGTCGCCCTAGGCAATTGCCTTGCTCGCCTATAGCAATCGCCGGCCCTGGATGGAAGACAGAATCAAACCAATATCAAGGTAAGCAGGATATGTTTACAGTTACTTTTATAAGACATGCCCCCCATGGGGCCTCCGCTGCCGGGCCCCATACAGCTTGGGACCATCCCTGCTGATTTCCTTTAAAATTGATTTTAAGACATTTTCTTAAAAGAAACGCGCATTACTGATGTATTCTGTCTGAAAATAGGGTCTGTGGCCTCTTAGTATTAAACGTGGAACTGATCCACACAAAAAGAGTTAAAAAAAAAAAAAAGTTCCGCCCACACCACGTCAGAGCCGATCTTCCACAGGTGTCACAACCAGGTTATTTCCACCACTGTCACTGAAGGGAGGAGGGTGATTCCCGCTGCTCTGTCAACTTTTCTGATCCAGCGTGTCCGTGGAAAGTTTCCTGAAGTTTTCCGTTCATAAGAGGGAGGCCTCGGTCACGCAGCCGATCTGCGGTTCTCTTTCCGGGCGCTGTGCGGGTTCTGAGCTCCGGTATGGCGGCCGTGAAGGCTCTTCAGCAGTGGTGTCGGATCCAATGTGAGGGCTACCGAGATGTGTCCATCACCAACATGACCACATCCTTCAGGGACGGACTGGCTTTCTGTGCCCTCATCCACAAAAACAGACCCGACCTCATGTGAGTATCGCTGAGATCCAGCGATGAGCTGCGCCCGCATTCACTGGAGCTCTGCGCGTTTTTACGCATCAAACATCTACAGCAGTGGGGTCTCCAGCCTTAGGTAGATGAAAGAGGGAATATTTAGAGATAATTAACCCAATCGGTGTGGATTTGGAGGGGAATGTGTGTAGAAAAAGTTTTGCTGTGGACTGAGTGGAGCTCAGGGTCCAACAGAGGCGTAGCTAGAAATTTTTATAAGGGTGCCCAGGCAATAACCAATGTAGACTGAGGGGTGGCCGATAGTAGATATGCACTAGAACCTTACGGTCAATCGCCACTGTTCCGATAGGAAAATTAACAAGCAAAACATCCATATTTTCTAAATAAAGACAAACTATACTTTCCAACAGCCTTTGCTAACAAATAGACTAATATATTCAAACATCCATGCTTTTTAGATAAAAGGTATGGTGGATAAAATTCTTTGAGGTTTGAGTTTTGGGCGAAAATCTTTTCCATTGTCATTGCTTACTTACTTTTATCAGTAATCAGTCTGCATAAATTTGATATCAAGTGTGTATATATATATATATATACATATATATATATATATATATATACATATATATATATATATATATATATATATATATATATATATATACATACATACATAAATTGATTATTTATCTATGATTTCAATGAAGAATCCTAGATGACTTGCAGAGACGCATAAATTTCTCTTTACCCCATAAAAAACAAAATCTATCTCTGCTTGAATTCTGCTCTTATTATTTTTTATGTTAGTATATTGATGTCCATAATTAACTACAGTGTTTTTGTTGTCAAGTAATTGTTAATATATGAAAAATCAAAATGTTTTGAATATTCCACTTGAGAGTATTACTGTTGCCACCATCTGTATCAGAGGGAAATAAATGGTAGGGGTGGCCAAAGATTGGCTGAGGGTGACCATGGCCACCCCTGGCTCCCCATCTAGATTTGCCCCTGGACCTGTGATCTGCTGAAAGTACAGCTCAACCATATAAACCTCATCATAGGGATAGTTTACAACATATCCTCATTAGATTTGAACCACAATAACGACTTTGATCAATGTGAAATATTTATTTAGGTTATTAAAGAAAATAATAAATTTGTCTTAAGAAATGAGATTATATTTAGAATAGAATAGAAAATCCCTTTATTGCCCAACAATGGGGAAATTGTGGTGTTACAGCAGCAAAAGGTAATAGCAAAAGTTGTCACACAATGTGGACCTTAGAAAGGTGTATAAAAATAACAATAAGTGACAGAGTTAAGAAAGTAAAATAAAAAAATCTATGATTTCATTTTTCCTTTAATTTGTATGATGATTATTTGTAAAAGTAATTATCTGTTCATTTTGAAAATAATGAAACTAATACCAAACCATTCACTGCCAACCCATTCGTATTAACTATAAATTCAGAATCAACGGCCATACTGTACTTAATGAAAAGTTTAGTGGAAGGAAAAAGTAGGAATAAAAACAGGTGTTCACTGTGATTTTAGTTTTAATTCCAGAATCACAAAACACTGACCTATATTTTCCGGGGAGAAAAAATAAGCTAATAAAATGAAGAACATTACAATCCACCCCGAGCATCACTGTTGTTCAACTACAGAGGGTCTTCAGTCAGAGGCTCCTCCAGACTGACCCCTGCAGGAGAGCCTCCCTCCCTACAGTCATCAAGATCTACACCTCACTGAGGAAAGCACAATGAGTTAAAACACTTGGTTTCCCCCTGAGATCAATGAAATATTCTTCAATTTAATTGGATATTACAGCTATAACGCCTCTAAATCTGAAACGCATTCAAAGCAGTCTAGGATCCAGAGGCACAGAATCCATGTTGATTGAAGTCCAGTGAGACGTTTCCACAGTCCGTTAATATTTAAGATGCCACATTATAAGTTGGTGTTTGTCTACGATGTACATTGAAGACCACGGTGAACACGGGGATCTACCAAGAATCTTTCTCCTCCCTTCTGCTGCAAGCTTGGAGACGCTATTTATATTTCCAGCCCTCTCTGCCAAAGGGACCAATACCTGCTTTAGTGACAAGTTAATAACTGCAACTGAGTGGTCGGCAAACCACCTAAATCACCTAAATACACAGATAAACTATAGAGTAAGATGAGACACCAGAGCCAACAGAACACGAGAGCTGTCTCCTTCATTTAAAGCAACCTGCGTTTCTTTATCACTTTATCCATGAAACACTGCAGTAATGCAGCAATCGAAGATAAAGGGGCACATAATGTGTATTAAGTCCAGAAACAGAGATGTAGAGCTTTACTTGGTAAAGAAAATGTGATACAATAAAAAAAATCTTACCAGAAATTAAGGAAAAGTACATTTTCTAAAAGACACAATTTTTATTCACTTAAAGGCTTTAGTGAACCCTTTTAATCTGTAGTCATTAGTGATCTTTCAAATTGGATCCTGTGCCATGATTGAACAATTCTTTTAAAGTAATAGCTTTGATTATAAGTTCTTCACAAATCTGCCTTATTGGGAGCAAAATGTAGCTTCCTGAGTGTCACGCATATCTCACATTCCTTTCTTCTGTTTATCTTTGGGGAAATAAAAATCAAAAATCAGCTCTAGATTCTGAAGACATTTTTATAAAGGAAGCAGCTTTCATTAGGGGAGGAATATGTAAATATTATGCTTGGTAGATCCGGAAGATTGCTGGCAGATGATTAAACTCTCCATGAGTTTAGTCTTGGATTAATTATTTAGCTTTTAAAGAGCCTTAACTTAACACATATTGAACCTTGGCCCATGTCCTTCTTGGTTTGTGCTTGATTTTGTTTCTTTAACAGCACCGCCCAATCAAGCAGAGATAAAACTGCTCCAGTATTCCTCATTTCAGCTTCCCAGACCGCAGTATTGCAGCACATTTAAATTTAGATGTGTTTAAATCTCTAAACGGTGGTTAAATGCATTGCTGGAGTTGCTCAACAATGGGCTGTGTGATTTATCCAGGCTGAGCTCTGTGTTGGTTTCAGTTCTGGAGCGTGGGTTCAGTGACAGAGCAGCCATACAGCTAATCTGACTCACTCACCCTGCCATGTCATTTTGAAACGATGAAACTATGCACGTCTAAACAACACATGTAACTTTTCCACAACTAATGAAGATGACTGGGATTGTTTTTTTTCTCTCTCATGTTTTGTTTTTTCACTTTCTCTTTTGCAGTAATTTTGATTCCCTGAAGAAAGAAGATGTCTATGAGAACAACAAGCTGGTAAGAGTTTTCTCCAGAGTTGTAGCTCCAATATTCCTGAAAATCCTATAAAAACCCTCCTATCTTCATGTTTAGGTAAAATACATGGGGGGCTGTTGCAGTTAAATAATGTTTCCACTTTGAAGGTTCAACAGCTGTGGGAGGAGACAATCTCTGTCATAAAGGATGGCCCAATGTTTTGTATACAAAGAGATAATAAAGGAAGTGCTGTAGCTTTAAGAGTCAGTTTAATCAGCTCTTATCAAGGCAGCCATTTAGATAATTTTCCTCTCATTTTCCTCACTAAGGAACCAACTTGGCAAGGAGTTTATGAAAGGCACCTGGAAAATTTTCTCTTTTATAAATAGTAGCCTTGATAATTTTAAATTACGCTATATGTCCAAAAGTATTCGCTTGAGTCATATATGGACTTAAAGTGACATGCCATTTTTAATCCATAGGGTTCAATATATTGTTGGTATACCATTTAGCAGCTATTACAGCTTTATTTCTTCAGGAGAGGCTGTTCCAAAGGCTTAAGAGCATATTTATGGATTTTTCTGACCATCGTCCCTGAAGCATACTAGTGAGGTCATAGACTGATCTTGAACAAAAAGGCCTGGCTGTTGGTCTCTCCAATTCATCCAGGTCAAGGCAAGTCGAGCTCAACGGTGCCAAACTCTCTCATCCCATATCACTATTAACCTCTCTTTGTGCACACTCATGTTGGAGAAGGAAGAAGCTTTTCCAAACTATTACAACAAATTTGCCATGTTATTTTTTGAAAATGCTCTAGTTTACTGAGTCATTCAGATCCGAGGAGCCAAGCTGCAGTAAAGTGAACACACCACACGAGCTGCAACAGTGGCGTTGGAAGTTTGTCATGAGGGTTGTCGTTTCAAACCCCGGCTCCGGCTTTCAGTGTTGACATGTCCTTGGGCAAAACACTTCAACTGCATTGTCTACTGATGGTGATCAGAGGGCCCGGTGGGGCATTTTACGGCAGCCTAGCTTCTGTCTGTGAGCCCCAGGGCAGATGTGGCTACAGTGTAGCTTGCCATCATGACTGTGTGTGAATCAGTGAATGTAGTGTGAAGAGTTTCGGTCAAGTCTCCTGGCTTGAAAAAGTGCTATATAAGGCAAATAACCATGTTACCATTTCTTCCTCCACCACTTTATATACTATACAATATGGTCAGACAAGTACCGATTTCCTGGTAACTATCAAACCTAGACTCCTCCATTAGATTAGTTGGCAGGGTGCATCCTGTCAAAATACCACACTAGATGGTGGATATCCTGAGAGCGACTCTTCTTTCACAGTTGCTTGTAGAAACAGTCTACATGGCGAGGCGCTTGATGGTACACCCATAGAAATGGACTCTAAGATGTGACCTGGGTGATTTGGATCAGTTGGACTTTTTGTTAACATAGTTTGGATATTTAGCTGATTATGTATTTTTGTTTAAGACCAAGAGCAAAAAATAACTACGGTACTATAAAAATAACTAGAAATAACTCAAAGTGCTAGAGGCTTAGCTAAATTCCTTTTTTGTTTCCTGGTTTTATTTGGAAGTTGGATTTTAACCAACTTCTGAGCTGTCAATCCAACAGAAATACAACAGAAAGTTAAAATGTGTTCTCCATCTGAGTCAGGCGCATTGCTAAGGACACTGAAGCCAAATGTGAAAGGAGCTATCCAAATGGTGCTGGCAGTAAGGAAGGAGTCATTAAGAGGAAGCTGGATGGTCCCCATTGGTAGTTCAGTTATCTAAGCGACCCCTGAAGTTCCTAACCCCTGCATAGGATCTGCCCACGATCATTTGGGTAACGGCATGTATAGCCATTCGCCTAGTCACTAGTTGCATTTGAGTCATTTTGATATGTGATAGTTTTAGTCAACTTAATCTTTTAGTCTAGTTTCATTCAGTTTCATTTTGAAAAAAAAAGTTAACATTTACAATTTTGAATAACAACCAGATCCTTTACCAGACTGACAGCTCTTGCTTAGATACTACAACTGCCGGGTATAGAATGCTGCCGTGCAGTTCATCATTGCTGTTGGGCAGAAAACTTTGATTTATAGAATTCACTTTTTTTTATGAATTAATGCCCTACTTTATAAAAAAGTGTGTCACAAAAGCAGTGAAAATAGCAGATCTAGTTCAACACATCATATTGGTTAATATAGCAGACAGGCAAGCTAACAAAATGTACAATAACATTCAAAAGCAAATACTTCCTGATCTGCTATGAATTATGCATTACACAGATCAGTAAAATCTTCATTGCTCCAAAAAAAGCATAGAACAAAAACATTCTTCTTTCTACTATGGCAATTTTGGCTTTATTTCTGAGAATTTAGATTTAAATTCACAGGCTTTTGATAAAACAACATAGAGAGAATGTACATATTTGCCTCGTGGTGCCATGCCAATCCAGACCTAAACTGAATGAATATGCTAACTAAAATGTTGACATAATCTAAGGAAACATAGAACATGTTTTTTTGACAATACAAGGAAACCTTTGCATCATATTTATATAAATAGAAACAGGAACTATGAGAGAGAAATATTCAAAGAACTATGTACCTTTTCACATGGCTTTTTATCCAAAAATAAACAGAATGCAATGAACATTGTATAAACATTTATCACAAGTAAAACAATAGGACTGAGAGCGAAAATCAAGCATACATGCATACCTTTGTCTGACTATTAAGATTTTATTTCTTCCAGTTCAGAAGAGGTAATACTAAACATTCTTTAATTTCTACCAAAATGAATCGTATGAATTGTATCCAAATAAAATCTTAATAGTCAGACGAAGGGATTTTTTTATGTTTGGCAGAGGATGATCAGCCACATAATTTATTAAGTAGTGATGGAAGAGCCATACTGCTAAGAGCGAACCATCAGTGTGGAGCATAAAGGGCAGACTATAGCTGCGCACAAAGACGCATTTCTGCACAAGCGCTGCTGGAAGAGCAGAGTTTGTCACAGTTGAGCGCGCAGTACCGGACGATTCCGGGTTATTCTCCCCTGCTGCTATGATCCATCTGTGGTCAGGCAGAATGAGCACCGCTCCACGTCAGTTGGGCTACGTGACCAAACAAGACCCAGCAGCACGGATGATACTCCTTAGCTTGTCTGACAGATTAAAGCACAATGATCAATTTAAAATGTCTGACTTACCACCCGCTAATTTGTATGCATGTATGCATGTTTTTCACTCTCAGTCCATTTGTCTTACACTTAAAAGTTTATACAATGTAGAATACAAAATTGTGGAAAAGCACCCGGAGCCGATCATACCAACATGTCTCATTTTATTTTATTTTTTTCAAATGTATTCATCTGTTTAATTATTTCAAAGTCAACCCTCTTGCTGAAAAGTTTCTAAAACATCTTTTTAAACGCTTTTTCACTTTAAACTTGGTGTATCTTAACATTCATTTTAATGTCCTTAATTTATCATGTTTTTATTGACTGTATTGCTTTGAGATTTGTTTTAAAACTAAAGTGCATTACATTTAAAATGTATTGTTATTATCATTATATCGGAAGGACTATTGCAATAGATCTAACTTCTATCTATGATGCAACTCAAAAACATAATTTGAGTTTAAACATAATAAACTATGCTTTAGCTATATTGATTGTGTAATCTTTGTTGTTTTCTTTACCAAAAAATGGTCAAATCCATAATTTTGTATTTTTATTGATTTTTAAGTGCTTAAATTATGGGAATTTAGGATATTATTATAAATACTTTTTTTCTTAGAATAATAAAAATGTAATTAATTTTATTTGTAAAGCCCAAATTTACAACAAATGTCATTTTATGAAACACAGCATGATATACTGATGCAGTTGACAACCAGAAACAATGAATCAAATGAGTCAATATTATCCAATTATTTAGTAATAAAGTAATCAATTTATGTATTATCTGCTCCAAGTTGATTCTAGCTATAGAGCAGGGCAGCCAATTGTACTCCATGCCATTGATAAAAATCTGTACATATCAATGCTGATTGCACAGACTTCACCTTTCTCCCCTGATTAAAGCCACAGTGGTTTTACAGAGTATGCAGCATGGTGTGCATATTCCAAACTGCAGATTCATTAAAAACCTAAAACTTATTTTTTTGTGTTTTAGGGAATAAGGAAATGACTAATTAGACTTTGTCCTTCTCCCTGAGGGAATTCATCCCACATAAATGTTACTCACCGTTGAGGTCAAAGTACCAGCAGAAAGTAGACCGTAAAAACTTTATAGATAAAATCAACAGCTGACGTTGAACTGAGCATCATCCTGGCAACATGGAGCCATTTTAATGTTACATAATTAAACATCTTCCTGTCAGTCTTAGGTTTTCTCTGGCATGTTCTAACCCATTCTTACCTCTAAACTGACATAAAAGTATTTAACCAGACCTTGCTGTTTTGTTCTTTTCATCAACTTTGAAACAATGATGAAGTTTTGGTGATGCTTTCAAACATTCAGCACAGCCAGTGGGAGGTTCCCCAACAAATGCAGAAATTAAATCTGTTCTAGTGTTTTTAATGTTAATATATATTCCAAAACATCTATTTGAGCCAGACACCAATGGACATTCAAAAAGCTGCTTATTGCCAAACTAAAAGCGTTTTATCTGATTCTGGCTGTTGAATTTTACTGTTTTTAATTAGGAACTTTTTATAAACTTGAAGAACAAAGCAATGATGAGTTTCCTTAGCTCCACTTCTGATCTGATTCCTGATCAGGTTATGAATCTGGTAACTGGCACGCCTCAGCTTGTTTCACTTCCATATAAAAGGTGATAGTCAACCTTTCGAATTCCTTAACTTGTCCTGCTCATTGCCTTTTGTTCTGCATGATCTGCTAACAAAACAGACTGTGAAACAACAGGCATGCTGGAAAATTTTTTATTTTTTTTTTAGGAGTGTGATAAAACCCCATCACATTTATGCTGGTACATCAGAATTTGTTTTATGTGGTTCAAAGCATAGACAGGCTAACATACAGTTAACATAAATTTGGGAAGATATAATTGTGAATAAGCAAATAAAGTTGTATCCGAGGAGCATGTTTCTCGCTTTACCAAGGAGTACATGAAGGGCTGATAAATTTAGCTTTCTTTGTAATATTTTTTATTTAGTGTTGTTTTTAACCATTATAATAAAAGAAAATCATCAACAGTCTGTTGCTTTTCTATTTGCAGGCCTTCAGTGTTGCAGAAGAACAACTAGGAATTCCTGCTCTGCTGGACGCAGAAGACATGGTGGCTCTTAGGGTTCCCGATCGCCTCTCTATCCTGACCTATGTCTCTCAATACTACAACTACTTCCATGGACGCTCCCCTAGTGAGTAATAATCCTGCATCATTGCATCTATCTACATTTCTGGCTCCTCTCATCTCATTCTGCTCACATCTTTGTCCAGTTGGTGGAATGGCAGGTATAAAGCGTCCAGCTGAGCCAGCCACCAATGAACCTGCAGGCAAGAAGAACCAGGCGGTGACGGCTAAGGTGTTTCCTGGATCTAAACCCGCCAGAGAGAACAGCCCTCCCCGCTCTGCGATTATTTCAAAGCCGTCTCCTTCACCTAAACAGATCAGAAATTCAACACAGGTAAAAGTTCATTCTGCTTTTGGATTCTGGTCACTTTTCACCTTAACTCTGAAAGGTCTATACAGCGAGTAAAATAAGTATTTGAACACCGAACTATTTTGCAATTTCTCCCACTTAGAAATCGGTTGTTGTATTTATTTGTTGATACAGTTTTTCACCATGTTTGCACACACTGCAGGAGGGATTTTGGCCCTCTCCTCCACACAGATCTTCTCTAGATCAGTCAGGTTTCTGGGGTGTTGCTGAGAAACATGGATTTTGAGCTTCCTCCAAAGATTCTCGATTGGGTTTAGGTCTAGGCCACGCTAGAACCTTGTTATGCCTCTTCCAGAGCCACTCCTTGGGTATCCTGGCTGTGTGTCATTGTCATGTTGGGCCACCCAGCCTCGACCCATCTTTTATGCTCTGAGGGAAGGAGGTTGTTACCCAAAATCTCCCAATACATGGTAATCCTCTCCTTAATACAGTGCAGTTGCCCTGTCCCATGTGCAGAAAAAAAACAAAAAACAGAACATGATGGTGTTCTTGTGATGGTACTCACCATTCTTCTTCCTCCTAATACGGTTAGTGGAATTATTACCAAAAAGTTCTAATTTGGTCTCATTTGACCACATGACCTTCTCCTATGACTCCTCTGAATCATCCAAATGGTCATTGCAAAACTTAAGACGGGCTTTGGCATGCGCTGGTTTAAGCAGGGGAACCTGCAGTGCCCTACATGATTTTAAACCATAATGTCTTAGTGTATTACCAACAGTAACCTCGGAAACGGTGGTCCCAGCTATTTTAAGGTCATTGACCAGCTTCTCATCCATCAGAGTGTTCAAATACTTATTTTCCTCACTACTTAAAAAAAATAAATAATTATCAACTCATCATGAGATGTTGCGAAGCAACAGTTTGATATCTATATTAAAGGATTTAAATAACTCATTTTTAACTTGTCTTCAAAAAAATGCTATTTCCAAAAAAGGCCACATTCCTGTTCATGAGTTCTCATAGAAGTTCCTCCTCTTTGCCTTCTTCCTCTCTTTCAGGATGCTCATGTTGCAAAATCTCACCAAGCAGGAACATTAAGCAACAAATGTGCCTCATGTAACAAACATGTCCACCTAGTACAGCGACATCTAGTGGACGGAAAGCTCTATCACAGGAACTGTGCAAAGTAAGGACACTTCATAAGAGAATCCATCACTGTGTTTCATTATATCACAATAAACGATATAAAGATTTCTTGAAAGGAGAATTTTAGAGGAGAGTTTTAAACTCTTTGGATTAGTTGATATTGTTAAATGAATTGTTAACATGGTCAGCTGTGGTTATTTCTCCACTGCACTGCACTAGAACCCATGATGGATGCCTTTAGTTATTTTAAGTGTATCCATCTGTTTCATCATAGTAACCAGTTTAAACTGACTGGGATGGCATTGGGAGGCACTGATTTAACCATCCTCCCATTCTAAGTTGGAAAGCAACGGGTGTTTCTTACTGTGCTCAACAACAGCTAGCCCTAATGATTGTACAGAAGTGGTGTAAATTGTGTCTTGATTTGTTTTTGGGGCTTGAGCCCAAAATCCTAATCTGCTGGCCGAATATTCTGTTTCAGGATTTACTGGCAGGATACTTCTGCCATGTTTGACTTCAGGTGTAAATGGGCTCAAAATAGTGTTTAATTTTGTCTCGCCAGTCTACTGAATATCATCTTGTTTTTTTTTTTCTTTTAGGAAAATATAAGACAGATTTTTATTTTTTCAATAATGGTTTTTACTGTAACAAAGAATCCTATTTTGCGGAGCCTGTTTCTCATTGTTAAATGATCAGCTCTAATTTTAACTGTGCCATGTGCGTTTTGATTTATTTATTTTTTTTAATATTCTGTGTTTTTTTTTTTTTTTGATAAGTTATTAATGCGCTCTCTGAGTGATCTGGTCTAGTGCTGCAACTAACGATTATTTGGTTTTATTAAGCCGCTCCAGAATGATCAATGTTTCTAACCTGCTTTTCCATTTCCAAGATCAGATCATGATGTGTTTCTTTTTGAGAACCTTTAATCTAATACATGTCATCACACAGGTTGCATTTAAGTAAACTTAGAGCTCATTGTTAATACAGCAAAATGAAACCAGACTAAATTAGCTCCATTAAAGTTCATTTTGGATTTGCCAAGGAGATGATTACTGTTCCATACTGGGCTAGCTTGTTTGTATAGCTGGTTTCCCTTCTAAAATGAAATAATAATTAAAAAAAAAACCTTTTTGTTGTATACAAATTTAAGCACCATCTGACGATTAGTTTGATGATCAGAAAGATTTAAGTGTGACCCAGAAAAAAGAGCAGACTAAATCTGTAGGTTGGAAGTCATCTCAAATAGTTTTGTGTGTGAAACCATGTTTGCCTTTCTGTATTCCAGGTCGCTCTCAACGAACACAAGCTCTCCGTTTGGGGGGTTTTCCGCAAACACTCATGTTTCTAAACCTGATCCGAGCAAATCCACTGCGGTCACTTCGGCTCAGACGCCGTCCAGACTTGGTCCGACATGGCTGACTGAGAAGCCCAGCTCTTCTCCAAATGGCTCCACTTCATTTTCTACTTCCCCTTCCTCTCATTCCGCCCGAGCTCCTAATTCTGTTGTTAAAGAGAGCCCCTCAGTTTCTGTGTCCAAACCAGCTGCATCAAGTGACTCTACCTTTACGAGCAGCATCAGCACCAAGCCCACAGCTGCTCCTCAGACCTCTGTCAATGCAACCAAGACATGGGAGTCCAGGATGAAGTTTTTAGAGTCGGATACTAAGACAAAGGTAGAGGAAAAAAATACATCAGTTTTTAGCACAACTATAAATAAAGGTCAGACTACTGTTAAGGGACAGGAGGTGTCGCCAGGTCAGACTGTAACCATGGTCATCAATGTAGGTAAAGATGTAGGTAAAGGCAAGGGTGCAGCTAAAACAACCGCTGGTGGCAAAGTGGGCACAAACACTAAAGAGCATGATGATAAAACAAAAGCATCGGCGGCAGCTTTCATCTCCAAGAAACTTACTGAGGAGAACAACAACAACAACAACAAACCATCATGGACAAATGCTTCTCTCAGAAAAACTAGCAAGTAAGTCTGATTAGAAAGAGAGTTGTTTCCAGCTAAAGCCTGACCTCTTTTGGTAAAGAATGGTATTACAGTACTTTTTATCTTGTGTTCAGAGCTCAGCCTCAAGAAGAAACACCGAAGAAGGAACTTGGGGCCGTCAGGGCGAAGGTGAAGCTGAAGCCAGATCCGACTCTTCTGGCTGATCTTCAGGTTCCAGAGCCTGAAAAACCAAAGGTCACCAGTTGGATCAGTCGGACCAAAGAAAAGACACCAGAGAAGGGAAGCTTAACACCTCCCAAAACCTCACCCAACACTTCAGGTGAAACCAGATTCTCTTATATAATGGGCAACATTGAGTTATTGTTATATTACATACAGATGTCATTTTCGGGATATGGATGCATGTTACTCCTATAAATTCACAAAGTGATTTAGCTCTTAAAGGTATAGTGGAGGATCTTCTTTTTCCGGGTGGATCATCAAAATAAGTGGTCCTAATTGTCAATCATTCTGGTCATATGTTTACATAAGGCCGTCCTATGTGCTCGTCCCCATTTTTACTCACTGGTGAGTCTGACATAGTGGAAAAATTGTAAATCTTCTTTTAGAAAGTAAGTTTGTATGAGAGATGCGAACAACAACATTTAAACAGAGCGTGCATGAGGAGAAATGGGCTCGTGCATGCTCTCGCACGCGTTTAATAGGTGTTCCCTCGCAGGAATTCTTTTTTCTAAAACTGGAGAGGGCGAGTCTTTTCAAAAATTTGTGAAAATCCTCCAAAATACCTCAAGTTGTGAGGTGTTAATCCTTATGTTAGAAATATGAAATGGGATAAAAATCAACTATTGCCTTGTAGACTCTGAAACATCTTTGATTGAAGCGTTTCCTGGGGCATTAGCAAGGCAAAATATAGCTGAGCACCATTTGTTGGTACAAGACAGATTTATTTGTAAAGAACCATTCATACCTTTATGTTTACAATGTACTTTTACAGAAAAACAAAGGAGTCAAAACACATTAAAAAACATCACATAAAATTAAGCATCACATAAAAGCAAAAAGTTAAGAGGTTTAAATTAAATCTAAAAAAAACACATGATATTTAAACTAGGTGAGGTGCAGTTAACAGTCTTGTTTTGGAAATTTGTTCAAATGACATCATAGGTTTCAGGTAGTTTTCTGCAATGTTGAAAATCATCATCTATTTATTTATTTATTTATTTCTTTATTTATTTATTTACTTCAGCCACAGCCAACGCTGTGTTAATACTTTTTTGAAATATGCATTATAAAAATCTAGCCTACTGAAAAATGAATCAGGATTATTTTTTTATTTGTGGTGGGATTCGGCTTAAAATTGGAATCTTGTACACACACATTTTAATTGAAACCATATTGTAACAGAAAAACAGCCTATTAATAGAAAACAAACAAACCCTTTGCTCCTAAATTATTGAATAAACGAGCATATGAGCACAACAGTAGAAATATTTAGGCTCTTTAGCCATTACATTAGTAAAGTTATGATCTAGAAGCAGTTTTTTTATTTTGTCTTTTAACTTCTTTAGAAATGTGAACAAAACATAAGCATTAAAGTCAAATTCCTTCCATTGAATATGATAACAATTTATATATTTAATATATATATATATATATATATATATATATATATATATATATATATATATATATATATATATATATATATATATATATATATATATATATATATATATATATATATATATATGGCTTTTCAAAGTTTAACATTTGCTGTTCAACATAAAACATCAAGTACAATTAGGGTGGCATATCAGTGCGGCATATCAATAAATTACTATGGTTTACATAAGAATCTGGCATACTCTCATTTATAGTAAAATTTTTAGTGGTTAAAGAGGCTGCTTGTGTAGCTGAATAGGAAATATTAATGAAAAATAAAAAAATTATTTGTTCCCAGAGTTCGTATTTACTCAATACAAGGTAGATGTGTAGAATGCCACAAAGCATAACACGTGTGGACTTAAATATTAAAATAAAATCTTTTAACTGGTAACATGCATCATAAAAAAAACATTTTATTTAAACAACTAAATAGATAGTAAAAAGCAAGTTCAATTGCTTAAAAAGTATAGCTTTTTAAAAAGTTCTGCAGTCTTTTGGGAACTTGTCTTTATGTCTGTGAGTGTGCAGCAGACCTGTCTTCAAGTTCACCCCTTTGGCTGTGGGCGAGTCACTGAAAATCTCCTGGTCCACTTTTAGTCGATGCAAAAATGGAAATAATTTTGCTCCTCAAGCCTCGTGCCTCATAAAGGAGGACAAATATGTGTCTGGCTGGATGTGGCGCTGGACATCAAAATGAAAATCTGGACTGTCCGGCCTAAAGCCGGACATCTGGATCCCCTAAGTACAGTTAAAACATATATACTGCTGAGGCCACTTTTTCTACTCGGGCAAAAGATTCATGCAGCAAGCCGTTTTACCAGACAGTTGTTTACTTTTTCATAAATGGACTCAATTCTTTTGGCTCTGAGACTCGTCATCTGGTCCGACGTTAGCTCACTGGAGATTTTGTGTTTGTGCGACCCAAGGGTCCCTTTTAAAAAGGACTTTTTAATTTCAATTAAACTTGTCTTGCTTAAATAAAAAAATTTTTTCTGTTTAATTTTATCAGCATGCATATCATAAAATATGTTTTAGTTCTCACGTGTCTGAGCTAGGCAGGGTTTCTAAAGGATAGTTGATGGTAGTAAAATCAACACTGGGATTGCCGTATTAACCCTGATAGGATAATCGTATGGATGTTGAATAAAAGGGGCCTGAAAGTGGAGCCTTGAGGAACCCCCATTTGAACAAACAAGACTTTCTCATTTCAAAGCAATATTGTGTAACTTTTTGCCATCAGGGGTGCTGGACCTGAAACCTTTAGCTTTAGAGTCATATATGTGGTGTAAAAAAGATAAGAAGGGGTAAAAAAACAAATTTATTTTGTCATTTACAGTGTCAGAAAACGAATCTCCTGCAGACTGGAGGTCAAAACTCAAGCCTGTCTCCAAAGAAACAAAGTAAGAGTTATATTGACATACATTTTCTTTTGACACGTTTTTATCTTTTGATGGTACCTTGTTTGCTCTTTTTGGCTCATTTCCATCTGGTTCTAACAACAGTGTTTGCATCAATGTGAGCTCTCAGCATTTTGACATGGGACATTAATTGTTGGAGATCTTGTTTTCCTCCTCTTCTGCTATCTACACCTCCTGTCCTCCATCCATCTTTCCAAACAACCCTCCCACAGGAAGCCTGAACCTGCTGCTTGTCCAAATGGCTGAGACATCATTTGAAGTGAGAGCTCTCAGTCTCTTCTCTTCCGCCACATGCATGTCAGCCCCAAATGGTGTCGGGACAGAGTGGAGTTCTCTGTGGTGCAGCATATGCTCATCCCTCAGAATTTCCCTCCCTTCCTTGCCGTTTCATCCACTTTTATAAATTAAAGGACTGTAGCAGAATGGGGATGGATAAGGCCAGATGAAATGAGGTTGATTAAATCTTTGCATAATTGTAACCTTATCTATTCACAGATCAGCAAGTCCTTCACAGTCTTCCACTAAATCGTGGAGTATTGGAGCCCCCAAACCTTCAGAGCCCCATGGTGGGTCTCCTGCAGGCAGCCCAAGCGTTTCTGTGTCTACACCAAAGGGTAACACCATAGTTAAATAGAATGAGATTGTGGTTCATTTTACGATGGAGTTAACAATGTTAAATTAATGTTTTTGGAATTGATGTCTTTCTTTTCAGGATTCCAGAATGGCCCTAAAGATCCAATAATGAATGGCACAAAGATGGAGTCAAAGGTCTCTAAGGTATTCACCTTAAAGCACACAGTTTTATAAATTAATATAGGTATGCATTTTGTCAGCTTTTCAAGTTATCTTGCGTAGTGGCACACTTCGGCCATTTATAATCACTGGACAGTATTTTTTCCTATTCTAAACCTTTCCCTTACTTGCTGCCGATGCACCTAAATTTCCCCACTGTGGGGCAGTAAAGGATTATTCTATGCTAATGTTGTAGGAAGGAAATGGAATTTAGCTGAAAAAGGAAACAAGCCAACATGTAAACAAAGTAAAAGAAAAACACACATTAACAAAAAATAACACAAAAAAGAAAACAAGAAAAAAAATAATAATAAAGAGAACAAATACAGAAGTAGGGGAGTGTGGCCTAGTGGTGCGCTTGGAATCCTGAGGTTCTGAGATCAAGCCCCCCACCCACAGACTGTCACTCTGGGTCCCTGAGCAAAACTCTTAACCCCACACTGCTCCCCAGGCGCTGCACAATGGTAGCCCACTGCTCCCCAAAGGGATAGGTTAAATGCAAAGACTTCATTTCATTGCTCTGTACTTGTGACAGTGTAATGACAGTTAATAAGCTGAAAAAAAGATTTATACATATAAAACTTTAAAAACGTGACTGCAGTTTTGTTTCATACTCACCAGAAAGAAAATTGTTGGCTAAACTAAAATGGTGATAAACTGAATTAATTATTACCATGCTGTTAATAAAATGTGTCCAGATTTCTTTTGTAAATTCTTAATCGAGCCTCTTTAAGAACAGGGATTTATACAGCAGAAGCTGCTGAATATTTCTATATTCACTTCATTTAGAGAATAATGTTCTCAGCCAACAGTGGCATTACCTGTTGCCTTTACAGTGTGTTTTAAATACAGTGTGCTTTAAATAAGCATGTTTAAAATGGGTTCATTGACCATCTAAAAGTTTCACATTATTTATAAATACTTGAATTACTTTTTTCCCCCCAAAATGTCTACAGAATTTGAAAAACAAAAACTGGAATAAACTGGTAAATTATGAGGGCAGTTTTGCTGTTACTAAGTTTTATGGTTCACACTTCTTTCAATAACTTTTCGGTTGATACAGCATGAGTTCTTATTCTATGTGTGCATCATATGCAGACAAAACCAGGTTACATCCCCAAAGAGGACATCATCCGGGAGCTTAAGGAGATTGAAGACAATTTGAACGAACTGGAAAGGAGGGGAGTGGAGCTGGAGTTGAGGCTGCGCAAGAAAGAGGAAGGTGAGATCAAGGCTCTCAGAATAAAGATTAGACTTTACAAAGGAAGAGTTAAGACAACTAGTGTTTTACTGCCTGAATGTGTGGTTTGTTTGTTTTTTTTAACAGAGGGCGACGACGACACTGTTATGGACGAGCTTATGGTTGAGTGGTTCACCTTGATCAAAAACAAGCAGGTGGCCATGCGTCGTGAGTCCGAGCTTGTTTACATGCAAGTACTCACACACCCACCCACACACACGCACACTTTAAGAAAATGGGCTTTCAGTAATTAGTGGAACAGACTTGTGGCCAGAAGGTCAACAGTTTGAGTTCCCAGTGTCCTCCCTCCTCTGTCCCACAGCGAGGAACAAGGCAGCTGACCCTCTCCCACTGACCACCCTGAACTAGCAGAAGTTAGGACCAGTATGTTGTTCATGATAACAATTTTAGCCTTGGGACAAATCTTTAGAATTTCTGGAAACTAACAAGCTCTTTGCTGTTAACCCTTAGAAGACCATGTATGAAAAATAACTGTTTATATAGCAGATAAAAATATGACATTTAAAACACAAGGGTCTGTTGTAGCGGAGCCCCTGAAAAGCTCCTACTAATGAACTTTTAGATGCTTTTCTTTCAAGTTTAGTGCTGCAGTTCATTATTTAAATCAGTCGAAGGATAACAGTTCTGTAAAAAAACAAAAAAAACAAAACAGAATTTCCCCTCCAGTCCAGCATCACCAGAGGTTCCCTCACTTAGCTCAGTGTAACTTCTGTTCCTTAGCAACCAAGACACCATGAGACATAGAGCTGTGATGCTGAAATAAGCCAAACGAGAACCATTAGATGTAGTCTGACCAAATTATATCTATGTTTAACTTTCACTCATTGATAAAAGTCAGATCAATCATGTGCCAGGAATCAAACTTTCTCTGTAGTTACAGCCAGACTTTCCGTTAGAGCTGGAAAATCTTCACCAGCACTCTGTCATGGTGAAATGTGCAACTTTTAATGGTAATACGGGAAGTTTCAGCACCTCCACCATCACTTCTGGCTTTGCTGTGGGGCAAAGAAATGCTACACAGTATTTACATCAAATAAACAACGCTTAGAGCTGATTTCTTCTAAATGGCTATTCAACAAAATCATGGGGAAAAAAATTACAGGATGTTTACAATATAGTATTGAATTTTTATAACTTCTTACTTTTGGAATAAAACAGAAATTTTTTACCAGTTGATTAAAATAAGTTATTTTTTTTCCCTCTTTTTTTTATCAACAGAGGAAGAACTCAGGAACTGGAAGAAGAGCAACCAAGTGTGGAGCAGGAGCTCAGAAGACTGATGGACAAACCAGGTGAGTTTCAGCACAGCATTAAAGATACAATGGAAGATGTTCTCTTTCCTGGTGGATCATCAAAATAAAAGGTCCTGCTAATTGTCAATCATTCTAGTGATATGTTTATGTAAGGCCATTCTATGTGCTTGTCCACATTTTCACTTACCGGTGGTGAGTCTGACACAGAGGAAAAATTTCAAATCTTCTTTTGGAAAGTAAGCTTGTATGAGCGACGTAAACAGCAACTTTTTAAACAGAGCGTGCACAAGGAGAAATGTCCTCCTGCACGCTCTCAGACATGTTTAATAGGTGTTCCCTCTCAGAAATGGTACAGGGTTGGAGAGGGCGGGTCTTTTCAAACATTTGTTAATATCTTCCTCTATACCTTTAAGTGATAACCGGAGCTCTGATGTCTGACCAAAATAACTTTCTTTCTACAGAACACTTGAAAACAAGTCGGGACAAACGGAGAGAACAGCAGCTCATGGACAAACTGTTAGAGATTGTCAACGACAGAAATGCAATAATAGATGGTCTGGATGAAGACAGGCTGAGGTATTTTTTTCTTAGTTTTATCGCCATGAAGAGTAAATACATCTTTAAATCATCAAGCTAGTATTCAATGAGATATTTCTGTGAATGTTCAAAGCTGGTAGAGGTGTACCCCAAAACACCAGTTGCTGTAATTCCTAAAAGAAAATTGTTTTTATTAATTTTTTGATTCAAAGGCATGCTTTTATTTGTAGGTTTTCATTTTCGGAGTTTTGAAAGCCATGCATCTTTTATTTAAACAAATAGAGATACTTCACCACACTTTTACAAAGTACAATTAACCATGAATTCCCTTAAAGGCAGGAGATGGTTTTTAAACTATTTGCTCTTTGTTCTTGTATTTATCTTTGCACAGGGAGGAAGAGGAGGATGAGGAGCTAAACAAGATGATGATGAGTTTCAGTAAGTGTCTCCACCCCCACCCCTACATTATGCTCATTGTTGATCAAAAACTCATCGTTGCTATCATTAATTTGGCTTCTAAATGAGCAAATACAGAATTTTCCAGTGTTTGCACGTCTAACTGAAGTGGAAAAAACTAGAAAGTTTGTATGAACTTGTGGCACATTTTTACGAGAGCTTCTGGGTGATGATTTCATCTAATTTGACTTAATGTAGCTAAATGGAAAAAAGAATCCAATAACAAAAAATACTCTCCCTGCATCTTCGTCAGACAAATGTTTAATGCACCTGGTTAATTTGAGACCTTTGGAAACCTTGTTGGTCATTTGCAATTCATGATTGGGAAGGCAGAGCTGAAATTGAGATTTATTGAAATTCAGTGAAAGGTCGGCGAGTAAATGCTGAACGTGGGCTAAAGATTACCATTTCATTTTAATGTATTCATAAAGTTCATGTCAAAATTTTATATATATTTTATATTCTGTCTGTTAAGTCCTGTTTTGATTTTTTTTTCTCCCCTCCTCTTCACCCAGATGTAAATAAGGACAAAACCAAGAGAAAGTCTCAGAAATTCAAATTTTTCAGCTGGGGAGGCAAGAAGGAAGCATGACTTTGAAACGCAAAGAGTCGTGTTTGCGTTAGATGTTTCTGCTGCTTAGTGTGTTTGTGCTCATCCTCTGGATCACAGGACGACAACGATGCTGCCTGCCTATGTGGGCGGGAGAGAGAGAGATATTTATCGATGTCTGTTTCTTAAAAAGTGCCCCTCCTTCTGTCAGCTGCATCATTCATGATTTGCTTGTTAAAAAAAAAACATGAACATCAAGACATACAATTTTGGAGGGGTAATGACTCCCTCATCATCTTGACATTTACTCTGGCTCTCTGGTTGTTTAGTTATGTCCTTTATTATTAATCTGTCGAATGTATGCTTTTATACATTGGGTTTATGACTTGTAAGTTCTTGCTTGCATCATGTATTTAAATGCACTTTGTATACATGAACACAAAATTCTGAGGTCAGGCAGTGTTAATTAGCTCAAGTTAGCAGTTTCTACAAAAAAAAAATGCCATTAAAGTGTCGCCCAAGGATTTCTCTTATTCTCCATCACAGAATATCCTCCATAGCCTCTAGCATCCTGCTAAAGATGAGCACTGGTATCTTTAGCTAGCTCGCCATGGAGACTTGTTCACACCAAGATGTGACTTCTTGTTGCAGATCTCTTAAGAGTGATCTCTGATTTATTTATTTATTTTTTTTACCTTCTTTACCATCTTCCTTGATGTAAGGTTGAGCCTCATTTAACAAAGTTTTGCTTATTGAAAGCTTTTCAGTTATTGCTCAGATTTCTTTTTATATATGTGCGAATCTTGGTTAGTTTTTACTTTTACTCATTTCCTGCATTTCCTAAATGAAATGTTCACTTGTTTTCCCTGATCTTTAAACAGAATAGTGTTCTATTTTAAATAGAACACTATTCTATTTAAGGATGGGGATAGAAATGGTGACACCTTTATACCCCAGTTAACTGCTCTGATCAATACTGGTAAAAGTTGGGAAACCCGGGGCAATTTATGATCTTGGATTTTGACTTGATTAAATAAATATTCTAAGATTTAATTGTAATATAGATTTTTTTTCAATATTTTAATGCATCGATTTTTCTTTAGAATCTTCATGTCTAATAGTTGTTTAGAAGGCTTTATCACCACAGTGATTTTTGATTAAGTGTAAGAGTTTCATTCAAAGCCATAACCACCAAAATAGCAGTATGAAATATGTTCATAAGGTGTAAACTTAAAACTATTAATTTCATCTTTCTGGTGATCATCTGTGAGGAAATGTGTGCGGTTTATGGCTGCTGCATCAATAAAAAGCTTGAGGTATGTGTATTGTGACCTTTACAGAGTGTAATTACAGATATTTCATTAACGAGCGTTTGTGAGTTAGGAGAGCACCAGATGTGGTCCACATTGGACCTTTAAATGTGTATGTTTGTAATATGTTCATCCTGTATTAACTGTATAGTATCATAAATAAATTTTTGTTTTTTATCCAGTTGTCAAATAGTCAAATTTCACTTGGTTCTGATTAAATTTACATGTGAAACTGGAGCAATTGCAGATTAAACATTGATCAGAAAAATAAAGGGACACATCCTAGATTTCAATGAATGGAATATTATCATGGAATTATTTGTTCTGCACAAAGTTGAATATGCTGATGACAAAATTATCAACGGAAATAAAATGTATTAACCTGGATTTGGAGTCAGACACTAAATTAAACCCACTACAGGCTGATCCAACTTTGATGCAATGTCCTTAAAACAGGTCCCAATGGGGCTCAGTATTGTGTATGACCTCCATGTGCCTGTATGACCTCCCTACAATACCTGGGCATGCTCCTGATGAGGTGTCAGATAATCTCCTGGGGGATATCCTCCCAGAACTGCACTTTGATGTTGGTGGATGGAATGAGACATGATGTTCCATAATTGGATTCAGTTCTTTGTAACAGGCAGGCCAGTCCATAGCTCCAATGCCTTAATCTTGCAGGAACTGCTGACACTCCAGCCACATGAGGTCTAGCATTGTCCTGCATTAGGAGGAAAGCATAGCCAACCGCACCAGCATATGGTCTCACAATGGGTCTGAGGATCTCACCTAGTACCTAATGGAAGTCATGCTACCTCTGTTGAGCATATGGAGGGCTGTGGGGCCTTCCAAAGAAATGACCCCCACACCATTACTGAGCCACTGTCAATCCAGTTATGGGGAAGGATGTTGCAGGCAGCAGATCACTCTCCAGGTTGTCTCCAGACTCTGTCACATCTGTCACATGTGCTCAATATGAACCTGCTTTCATCTGTGAAAAGCACATGGTGCCAATGGCGACTTTGCCAATCCTGGTGTTCCCTGGGAAATGGTCCTGGACGGTGTTGGGCTGTGAGCACAACCCCCATCTGTAGACGTCAGGCCCTCATACCCCCCCCTCATGGAGTAGGTTCCTAACACATGCTAGACGTAACACAGATGCATGCACATGTGTGGCCTCCTGGAGGTCGTTTTGCAGGGCTCTGGCAGTGCTTCTCCTGTTCCTCATTGCAAAAGGTGGAGGTAGTGGGCCTGCTGCCCTCCTACGGCCTCCTCCATGTCTCCTGGTGTACTGGCCTGTCTCCTGGTAATTGCCTCCAGCCTCTGGACACTACACTGACAGACACAGCAAACCTTGCCAAAGCTCACATTGATGTGCCATCCTGGAAGAGCTGCACTACCTGAGCCACTTGTGTGGGTTATTGAGCCTGTCTCATGCTACCACGAGTATGAAAGCACCACCAACATTCAAAAGTGACCAAAACATCAGCCAGAAAGCATAGGTACTGAGAGGTGATCCGGGTCCTCACCTGAACAACCACTCCTGTATTGTGTCTTACTAACTGCCAATAATTTCTACATGTTGCGTATTCCATTTTTACAACAGAGGATTTCATAGATGTTTGATTCAATGTAGTTGAAGTTTTATTGTGTTATTAACCTGTCCCCTTTACCTTTTCAGAGTAGTGTTTATTCTTTTTATGTTTTTGCTTAGACCAACAAACTAGCTTTAAATATGAAATGTGACCCATGCTTTTTAAGCTTCCCAATCCAACCTGGGCCTGTGGGAAAAGGTAATTAAGCCCTAAACCTGTGAAGTGGTTGTGCCTTCTAGTGATAAAACAGAATCATCCAATTTCATTATGTAGAAAAACTGAACATCCAATTTCTCTCTGATAAAGCAGACTGAGGTCTGATATCATGATATGAAAATCGAATGAAAATCTGATGTTACACTGATAAAACAGATTTAACTTCCAATTTCATAATAAAAAAAGAATAAACATCATCTAACACTTATAAAACAGAATAAACATCAGAAAACATAATTATGAAGCAGAGTTAATGTACACTGCTCAAAAAAATTAAAGGAACACTTTCAAAATACATCAGATCTCAATGGGGGAAAAAATATCATGCTTTTTATTTATACTGAGTGACTGGGTGATGTGTTAGGAACAAAAGGATGCCACATCGTTTGATGGAAATGAAAATGATCAACCTACAGAGGGCTGAATTCAAAGACACCACAAAAATGAAAGTTATAAAATTACGTGGCAGGCTAGTCCATCTTGCTGCAGTGAAATTTCAGCAACTAAAAATGGTATATAGTAATTTGTATGGCCCCCACATGCTTGTATGCATGCCTGACAATGTCGGGGCATGCTCCTAATGAGACCACGGATGGCGTCCTAGAGTATCTCCTCCCAGATCTGGACCAGGTCATCACTGAGCTCCCGGACAGTCTGAGGTGCAACCTGGTGGCGTCAGATGGATAGAAACATAATGTCCCAGAGGTGTTCTATTGGATTTGGGTCAGGCGAGCGTGGGGACCAATCAATGGTATCAATTCCTTCATCCTCCAGGAACCGCCTGCATACTCTCACCACATAAGGCCAGGCATTGCCGTCCATCAGGAGGAACCCAGGACCCACTGCACCAGCAAAGGGTCTGACAATGGGTGCAAGGATTTCATCCCAATATCTAATGACAGTCAGGGTGCCGTTGTCTTGCCTGTATAGGTCTGTGCGTCCCTCCATGGATATCCCTCCTCAGACCATCAATGACCCACCACCAAACCGGTCATGCTGAACGATGTTACAGGCAGCATAACGTTCTCCACGGCTTCTCCAGACCCTTTCACATCTGTCACATGGGCTCAGGGTAACGCTGCTCTCATCTGTGAAAAGCACAGGGTGCCAGTGGCAGACTTGCCAATTCCGGTGTCTTGTGGCAAATGCCAAACGAGCTCCACGGTGCCGGGAAGTGAGCACAGGGCCCACTAGAGGACGTCGGGCCCTCAGGCCACCCTCGTGAAGTCTGTTTCTGATTGTTTGGTCAGAGACATTCACACCAGTGGCCTGCTGGAGGTCATTTTGTAGGGCTCTGGCAGTGCTCCTCCTGCTCCTCCTTGCACAAAGGAGTAGATACCGGTCCTGCTGATGGGTTGTAGACCTTCTACTGCCCTGTCCAGCTCTCCTGGAGTAACTGCCTTTCTCCTGGGATCTCCTCCATGCTCTTGAGATTGTGCTGGGAGACACAGCAAACCTTCTGGCAATGGCACTTATTATTGTGCCATCCTGGAGGAGTTGGACTGCCTGTGCAACCTCTGTAGGGTCCAGGTAGCGCCTCATGTTAACAGTAGTGACAGTGACCCTAGCCAAATGCAAAACTGGTGAAAAAGAGTCAGAAAAGATGAGGAGGGGAAAAGATGTCAGTGGCCTTAACCTGTAAACCATTCCTGTTTTGATGGTCGTCTCGTTGTTGCCCCTATAGCGCACCTGTTGTTAATTTCTTTAACACCAAAGCAGCTGAAACTGATTAACAACCCCCACTGCTACTTGCCTGACCAAATCAATATCCCGGAAGTTTAATTGACATGATGCTATACTCTGATTGCAAAGTGTTCCTTTAATTTATTTTGGGTAGTGTACATAAACAGAATAAACATCTAATGTTACACTGATAAAACCAAATGAAAGTTCAATGTCAGTGATAAAAAATAATGAATGTCCAATGTCATAATGTGAAAACTGAATAAAAGTTCTATGTTATAATTTGACAAATTTATGAACATCTGATCTACCACTGATGAAACAATGAACGTTGGAAGTCATGCTGATAAAATAGAAAATAACATCTGGTATGAATGTCCAATGTCATAATGTTTTTTTTCTGTTTCCAATGTCATAATGTCAAAAAGAAATGCACTTCAGATGCCATAAAAACAAACCAGACTCAATATCTGATATCATAGAAACCAAATAGTATTATCTTCCTGAAAATTTTATTTCATAATTCGAAAATAGAATGAACATCTGATCTACCACTGATAAAACAATGAATGATGTATGCCGTAGTGATAAAAAAGAGCTAACGTCTAATGTCACAATGTGAAAATGCAGGCAACAATCTGATCTACCTCTGATAAAATGTTACGTGACAGTTCGTTCCTGTAATGTGCCTCCCACCAATAATGCATCCTTGCTACCTGGCCGGGGGATACTCTTTGTCATAGCGCTAAAGATTCATGACTTTTGCCTGGGAGTTTGGGGATCAAATCCTACCCAAGCCCTTTGTTTGCGTACCTCGCCACAATTGGATGTCATGGTCCTTAAATAGAATAAACAACTAATGTCATAATGCAAAAACAGGGTGAATGTTGTAATGTGAAAACAGAACCATCATCCTGCATCATCTTGATAAAACAATAAACATTCAATTTCATAGTCATACTGTAAAACACAACAAGTGTCTGATGTCATAATATAAAAAGAGAATGAACATCCAATATCAAAATTTGAAAAAAATAATGAACATCTGATCTACCTTTGATAAAACAATGAATGTTGGATGTCATATTGATAAAACAGAGCAAACACATAATGGCATAATGCAAAAACAGAAATGACGTCCGATTTAGTAGTGATGAAATAGAATCTCTGATGTCAATCTTTTAGCTTTCCTCATGTTGTCAGACAGGTTCTTTTTAAGTCATTTCTTGTTACTAGTCAACAACCTAAGAAATCTGACAATTACAACGTCTAAGTTTGGGGTGTAAAATTTAACACAGCTTCACAATAAATGCTGTTTAACCCAGTTTTTTATATGTTATATATGTGCAATTACTTTTTTATTTTCTTTTTACATTGCTCAATTTGGTCTGAAATGTTTTTTTCCTCTAAATAAAAAAGTCATTTAAATTTTTAAATGTATATTTATATATCCTTATGTTGTCTCTGTCTGATGTCTGTGTTAATGATCACTAATGTCAGACTTTGTTGATTTAAGGCATTTAACTTAAAAATGTGTTTGTAAAATGTATTTTATATATATATATATATATATATATATATATATATATATATATATATATATATATATATATATATATATATATATATATATATATATATATATATATTGCATATTTTATATATTATATATATATTGCATAT